TTATTTGTGAAAGAGATAGGATACATAACCTATCTAAACAATCCAGATACACACAAGATTACAAATAGCAATAAGAAAAGATTTGTTACAAGAAATAAGGTAAGAATAAATGTGCTCTTTACTTGTCAAAGTGGGTGACAAAGAGTAGTGAGAGAAGTAACTTCTTGGGTAATTCTTAATGAGGAAGATTGATAACTAAGAGGAGAACCACTCAGTTATTTATACCCATTACATTAAATGCAATTCAGAAGGTACAAAGCTCGTGCCAAGCTTTTAGAGGAAAGCTTGTCCTTTGTTTAGATTTGGCAGGATTTTGGCATGAACAGACTTCTTTTCATAAACTAGGTAAGCACGTTTAGAGTCAAAGGAGTGGCTCCGTACTGTATTATACTTAGAAAGGTTTGGGTTTGTTCTTTATGTGTGGAAGGACAAGAAAAAAACAATCTTGCTGAATACTAGGATGACGTTGAAAGGTCTCATCAGTGTTCACTGAATCTTGTGTGGACTTCACATTTGTATAGACAAGCTTGTTATCACTAAATACCGCTTCAGATCACGAACTTGTTGGTCTCTAATCTTCAGCTTCTGTCTTCAACATTGTTGAAGGATCTGTGGTGTAAATTTTGTTTTTTTGAAGTATAATAGTCTATAAACGATTTACAATACATGTTCAATGACCACTAAACAGGCTTCGTGAAGATCGCTGAAACTAAATGACAGAAACAGTACACTTTGATAGATAAAAGGAATCATCATCAAATCAATGAGATAGAGGATCAACAGAAAGATTGGTGATCATCATTATATATTGATTGATTTGGAGAAAATGAGTTACACCAAGAACACACTGTAGTGTGTGAAAAAAATCTCATAAATCACTCTCTCTAGCTTGTTACTTGTTATGAGATTCGTACTCTTGAATCATACTAAAAATACTAAACAAGTCACCTATTTATAACCTATAATAGAAAAAGGCAAAACATCCTCTAATAAATTAGATCTACGTGTAAAGGTGTAATAACTGCTTCAAGTTGAGATGGCAAGCTATGATAGGATGACAAAACTTAGAGAAATCTTAGATGTTGAACGCGTTGCAAAGGGACAGAGATGGACCTCTTCCTCTCCGTGATTAGCACTATTCAGGCTCTAGTTCAACTATGTTTTCAATGTAGAAGTCTTTTGGTTCTCAAGACTTGATTTCTTTTACAATACTTTTACATATAAAAATTGGGGCTAACAACGAGGAAATCATTTCATTCATCTCTTGACATGTGGATTGTACCCTTTGAGGTGCATCTAGTGCAATGGTTATAAATAACTGAAAAAATATCATCTTCTTAGCTACGCCTTCTTCTTCCTTCAATCTTTATTATCTCTTGGTCTTACTTTCTTGTGTAAGAAAAAGCTTAGTGATTCTAAGATTGTTTAGATTAGGATCTTTCCTTATCTAGTTTCCATAACAATTTGTAAATTCTATATTGGTTCTTCTTTAATCAATAAATGAATTTAGAAACTGAAATTTGTATGTTTGTATTTAACCCCCTTCCTTTCTATAAATTGTTTATACTTGTAGACTCCCCTTTGGGACCAACACACCTACACCTGAATCAACCTTATCCCTAACCTTAACCTCAACCTCTACCATCACTAAACCTGGAACTTATTCCACCCATGAAAATCAACTTTATTCGCTTCTTGAACCATCTTCTCTTGTTGACTTGGCTATCACTCCTCACTCTTAGCCACCAGCATTAAGCCAACCTTCTTCCCTATTAAGAAGCGGTTCTTATGCCTCCCCTAAATCTATCTTGGCAACCTTCCAGCATCTCCTCCACCTTCTAAATCTAACCCATATATCTTAGCTCTTATTCCTTCTCAACCTCCAACCTCTGTATTAGCTTTATCCTCTGAAACTATGTTATCTATGGTAGTTTCCCTTCCCTCTCAACCTCTCTCTAAACCTTTCTAGACTCATCCTCTACCCAAGCTTCTTCAGATTCCCTTAACATTTGCAGACATCCTGAAAGTTCAGACATTGATGATGATGATGCCAACCTGATTCCTATAAGATCAACTTCAAATAGATATGATAAGGAATCTGAAACTGAAGTTGAAGAATCTATCTGGAAATCTCAAGTAGAAGCTCGTCTAGCTGAGTTGAACTCTACCAAAGTAAAAATTCCTCTTCGTACCTTTGAGATGGGTTCAACCTCCTATCTGCTGTTGAAAAAGAAAGCCCTTAGGGCTTAGGAAGAAATGGAGAGACAAATGCAACTGACAAAGGAAAGCATAGAGTTGGCTCGAGCACTTAGCATTGATACTTATTCAGTTGGTAAGTTTAGAAAGAAAGAAGACATTGCCGCTCAAGCTATTATGATGAAAGAAACAGAAAAGCATAAAATTTAATTTGAAATTCTTAAAGATAAGGAGATCAAGTGGTGTAGACTGAAATTCGATCAACGTCTCTCTAAGACAAAGATCATTGATGTTACTGTCACTGGAAGGATGAAAGAAAGAAGACTTCTGATCACCTTGACTATCTTCAGAGATGACTCAACGAGTATCACTAACTACCCTCCTTCCTTCACAAGTATGGGTATATTGAATGGTTGGAAATTCTGAAAGCCATTCAGAAATGTAAAAGGGTGTTTGGTTAGAGGTATTAAGTAGTAATCAATGGAAATGAAAATAAAAGAAACTGTTGGTATTATATAATATAATGGCTCATTTCCTCAGAAGCCCAAATTTTTCATTCCAGACTAAAATGGGGAATGAAATTCATTCCCATTTTCAGTCCCTATTATTTTCATTTTTATTCCCTTTTTCATTTTCATCCCTCAATATGAACCAAACAGCCCCTAAATCTAAGTAAAAGGGGCATGTTAAGAAGGAGCTAAAGAGACTTCTAGACAAGATGAAATGTGTTATCAGTAATCCTCTAGAGCCAGTGAAGACTCAAAAAGGTGCAACTGCTAAAGATGGCCCATCCAACAAGAACGAGAATGAGATCAAGTTTTCTTTGGATGAAATCCTCTCCAAGCCTTCTATTCCCGACCTCTCCATATTGAACATCTCTCTTCCTCTTGATCGCACTCAGATACCTAAAGATGTTCTTTTCAAACCAGTTCATGGCATCTTTTTCTTTGACGTAAATGGTGATATGAGGTTTTAGAGATCTTGAGAGTTGTCTATCTTCTAGTGGAGCATTTGGTCTTCCTGTTGACTTATTGTGACACTTCCAATCATCCTAGAAATGCTTTTGATAGGAAGATTTGAATAAAGCTAAAATGATGACGAGATATAGTAGGTTCTTCTATACCTGATTTGGTAACTTTTGATGATTTGCCTGATTAGTATAGAAGTTCAGGTTTCGAAACTTCCCGAATTGAACAGAGATTTATATGAAGTACTTTATTCCTTTTCAATGTTGAAAAGATCCTTGAAAACACTAAATGGGACACTGTATATATGAGTTTCATTTCGTTTCTCTGTTACTTAGCAATTTCTTTATGTTGCTTTGTCATCATCAAATGACTGGAACTTGTTTATCTTAACCCCTCTCAGTGATTTGATGATGACCCTATATACTTAGGGTTAAATTTTCTATGTTAAGTTCTATCTGAAGGCACACCAGAAACTGAGTCTATTTAGTGTTCACTAATTATTAAAATTGTTTTTGAATTCAAATTTTCTTCTAAGACAAGACTTACTTCAAAGAAACTTCAGTGATGTCAAAGAAGTAGTTGAAGATAACGATATAGATGATCTAAAGTGGCATTCAATGATACACCGTATCTGAAGAAATGTGAAACTTTATTTTAGTGATCAACGACATCTAAACAAGTCCTCAAAGATCTCTCCCTAGCTGATTCAGAATCTTGCTTGTCAAGTTTTTTTTCCTTATCCTCATATACACAAGTCAACTTCCCCGTGCTTCAATCTAACTGAAGGTACGATAAGATCTGCGTTACTGGACAATTAGCTAGAGTAGCTGATGCTGTTGCAAAACTGATTGCAAAATAAGGGAAATCAGTCACATTAAGTTTACTTTTTGGGGAGGTCTTGGAGGGAGATCTTTCATATCTTTCGAGATCCACCCAACAACTGTTCATTAGCGGCCAAAGTTTTCTTAGCTTTTGATAAGAAGTACCCGTGAGCCACTCTATTTCTGACACGTGGATTATACCTGCTACATGCATTAAATGCACATGGTATAAATAGTTGAGAAGACTTTGTTTTTCACTACCATTGCTATCTTCTTCTTCCTTACTCTTATCCTCTCTTTAAGTCTATTTTGTGCAAGAACCTTTGTGCCTTCTTTACTTTGTTCTTCAAAGATCCTAAGTGCTCTTAGTATTAACGTAAGATTGTTTGTTAAGCATATGTTCAAAACTAAAACCATGGATGAGCAATAACAAAATTTTAATCAGCTCATCAAGGTATCAACATTTATTAGTGTACCAAAGGTAAAAGAACCGAGACCATATCCGATTTAATTGACAAATTAGTAGCATAAACGAGCAAAATGCTTGATTATCTCATAGTAGAACAATGATTTAGGTTTGGTGTGTATTTGATAATCTTCGTAGAGTGTACATGCTGATAACGTATAAAAAAGACTAAATTGTAGAAAATAAAAGTTATGAATTCTCATTGCTCAAAAGCCATTTAAATAGAGAGATTACATAAAGATCACTATAAACATGAAAATAATATTTATTTCATAAATAACTTTAATATTTTATATTTATCTTTAACATTACGTTATTTTGACAATGACATGTTTATCCTATAAAATAATCTAATTTATGAAATATTTTTTATAAAAAAACATAATTTAACCGATGCTGATAGCGAGAGCAATAGCCAATGTAATTTTTTGGTCATTGGTCAAATGTTATTTTTAGAGGGAGGAGAATGAAACATTGTAGATAATGCATAACAAAACGCTTTTAAATTTGCCCCCTTGATAGCTATCCAAAAAAAGAAACGCGGATCACCGAACCTGAAAGGTCAAACGCTGCAAACAACGTACACGCTGTATCCCGATGGAGTTCCCGTCGTTCCACCATCACCACCATCACAACAGGTACGTTCCTCCACCACCTCCAAAGAATTTCTCAGATGACAGCCCTAGTCTTTACCCTCATCACAACCACCTTCTGCCGCCACCTCGTCTCCCTCCTCCTCCACCCCTTTCGTACCATTCCCTCCCTCCACCACCACCACCACCACCTCCGGTTCCTGTGCCCCCTCCACCACCGTCTTACAACCCTCACCAATCCCACTTCACCTTTCTTGATGCCCAAAACCCCTCGTATCTCAATCACCCCCGCTCTTCCCCGCCACCACCTAGGTTTTCCAATCATCCCCATAGATTTGATTACCGAACCGATTCTTGGTCGGATCCGCATAGGATTCTGCCGGAACGGCCTCATCGCAATCCGATTTTACCCGTTGATCGCCATCACCGCTTGTATTCTCCTAACTCCCCATCTGAAAATTATTATAAACCTCATGTTTTGGAACGTGTTATCCCTTCTAGTAGGTATAGAGATGATACTATCGTTGATGGATATGCTAGTAGGGATATTAATAACATTGTTACACAGGAACAACAAGTTTTCCGAGGCGGTCCCAATAGTGATGACCATCATGGTCGCAATACTGTTCGTTATGCATCTGCCCGTTCGGTTATGGATATGGATAAAGCTACTGGTTCTAGTTTAAGAAATTCGGAGGATTTTGTTGAAACGTATGAGCCTTGTTATATGACTGTGTTGGAAAGCGAGAGAACTTGGGATGGTCATGGCGATGAAGATCCTAGATGGGTCCATGCTATGAAGGGGAAGAAGAACGAATTTGGTCATGGGGGCAATGAGGGGGTCTCATTTGTGTCTGCTAGAGAGCAGTCACGGGATTATGAGTATGAGTCCAGTAAGTTCAATAGGGTTAGGGAAGGTAGAGAAGAGTTTAAGCAAGTACAAAAGAAGAGTGTTTTACTTAGGATAGGCAAACCAAACAATACTTATAGGAACAGAAGCCATGATCAACATTTCTCTAAAGCTTACTTGGTTGAATCTGGTAGTAGTAATTTTAGGGGTAAAGATAAAGATAGAGATCATACTGGTAAAGATTCTAGTTTGTATTTGGATCAAAGGGTGGAGGGAGGCAGAGAACGAAGCCCTGTAGAGCTTGACGTGTCTTTTAAACCCAATGGACTAGTTGCTAAGGCTGTTGTAACGCCCTCAAGTCCAGTGTTTGAGAATAATTACTCACAACCTAGGAATAGAAAGATTAAGAGAGCCACCGAGTTTGATTCACCATTAACAAAATTCGGTGAACGTTCAACAAGATCTGGAAGCTCTTCCTATGGGTTAGAATGCCCTCTTAGTTCTGAAAAGGCTCCGAAGCAGCTAAGGGATAAAGATTCTGCCTATAATGCTGTACGAGTGGGTGATTTCAGTTCTCTGCCTTGTTCTGATGCTGTCGATGATTCTTCGAGAAATGGTGCAGATGGTTCTTTCTCAGGCCCAGTTTTAGATCAGGCTGGTGGCAGTGGAGGATCTGATGGACCTCTGTCCTTTAGGCTTAGGAAGAAAAGGAAACGCATGAATCTTGGTTCTCATGCATTTAATTTTCAGCTTGGAGAGAAAGAAGACAATTCTGTCAAGGGGGGAGACTTTAAGAATAGTCCAAGTGCACATATTCGGGGCGTTGTTCCATTTCCTCCTCTAGATGAATTAATTGCCAGTAAAGTGGATGAATCTCCCCAGGCTATGGTTTCAGAGAAAGATTCAGAAGTTGAGAATTTAAGTTCCTTGTCAGACCCTAGTAATCCGAACCTTCATGATACAAAGAGCTGTGGTGATGATCCTACTGAAAACAATACTCTAACTAAACGGAAGGTATCTACAATAAATGATGGTCTGGTGAAAGATCTTAGCCAGCAGCCCAGTCAAAATGAAGTTCCACTGGAACCTGAGAATGATGCTCAAAAGGTATCTACGGATGTTATGGTGCCACTGGATGGCACTGACATTTCTGCTTCATTGGGGCATGATCAAATCGAGATACAAAAATGGCCCACTGAATCGTATGCTAGTTTTGATGATGCCAATATTTCTTATAGTTTGTGCAATGTATCTGTCAAGATGCCAGAAATGAGTGCTAGTGCTGATATGAACTTGTTAGATCCTTGTTCAGGTAAGATTATTACTGTACTCTCAGAAAATGGTGCTGGACAAGGTTTTGATGATGTATCTAGAAAGGATGAGGAATTCCCATTGCTTGAGGGTACACCCAAAACTGATGGGTGTAACCCGAGTTCTGGTGCCACCTCAATTCTTAATGTTTCTTTCCAGAAAAATGTGAAGGACATCATTCCTGAACGTTGTATTGCAGGTGATGCTAGCAAGCAAACATGCTTCAATGAGACAAGAGATGGTGCAATTCTTTGTTCTGGTGAAAGTCATATTTATGTTGCCAAGAAAAATATGAAAGATTTGGAAATTCAATTCAATTTGCCAACTCCAGGTGAGAAACATGAGGATGTAGTAGCTGCCGTACTTAATGCAGGTGCAGCCCCAAGTATTACGCACGAGGAGATTTCGTCTGATAAAGATGGAGTTAGTGAGATGGTAACGTTGATTTCTTCACCAGTTCAGACACTAAGACCTGACAATTGGGAGCCTAGTACAGATAGAACTTACCTGATTCCGAAGGATGATTTACAACCCTCGTCGAGTATCCTTTCAGCGTGTGTTGATGGCACTGGTGCGATTGTTACCGACTCAAATGATAAATCAGGCGAATCTATGCCTGATATGCTAACCAGTACTGTTACATCCCAAAAGGTTTCCAGTTCCTCAGGCTTCCGCAGTTTGATTCGCAAATCAACAAATCAAGCTATGTCTAATTTGAGTTTCCCTAAGGATGATGGCAATATTTGTGAAAAGTCTGTATCTAAGGATGGTAGTTTGTTAAATCGTCCGGAGTCTTTGATAGAGAATTCTAGAACTAATATAAAATCGAATCATTTGGAAGTAACTGGTTTTTTGGCCAACACCAAGACAGCCTCATCTACATACCAGGGTAGCAGTGTTAAGACTTCGAGCTTCAATATGAAAATGCAGGGATCCAATTTGCCAATGAAGAAACTAAGTTCCATATCTGCAGTCCCTAGAGTTTTTGCAGGTCATTCATCTCCAGTCTTAACTAATTCAAGGATCAATAACCCTGCAAAGAACATTGCAAAGCCCCGAACCTGGCATCGATCTACTAGCAATTTTGCCTCTTCCTCGACAAAGTCTTCATCAATCTGTGTTCCTCCACCACCCAAGCAAATTGGAATGGGTCAGAACTCTTATATCCGTAGTGGCAATACTCTCGTAAGGAAAGGCGCTCCTGTGACTGCCATTTCTAGTGTCCCCCGTGCTTCAAGATCTTCCCTCTATCAATTAAATCCTTCAGGCCCAATTGAGACAAGAAATAGTGCTGGATCAGGAAGTAAAGTTCGTAGTACTAACTCAACACTCGGTGGGTCTAGTACTCCAGTCGTGAGGCCCAAAACGCCTCCACTATCAGGAGGCACCAAATTACCGGATTGCACAACAATACACTCGAGGGATTTGCCAACTTTACCACTTGAACATCAGCTCATGAAAGGTAATTGTGAGGAAGCGGCATCTCCTGTTGAAGGAAATTTTGCTGTGCAAAAGGTATCCCAGTATCATAAATCGTCCAGGGCTTCTGAAGATCAAAATGGTACATCCAGCAATTCTGAAAGCCAGAAGACACTAGATGAAGGAACTGCACCAAAGAAGATACAGTATGTGAAGCGGAAATCGAACCAGCTGGTTGCAACATCCAATAGCGACCAATCTATTCAGGACTTAGATAAGACCCAAGCATCATCATCTGATGGCTACTATAAGAGGAGAAAAAATCAGCTTATTAGGACATGGGTGGAAGATGACTTAGTAAACACAGATGTGCAAAAGGTTTCAAAGACAAATGTTAAGCGACAGTCTGGTAAAGGTTTGTCTTCGGAACTGAACCATTTGTACTCTATATTTGCCATCATTCTTTCAATTATTTTTACATATAATAACGTTCTACCTCTACACTATGATTAAGAAGTTACATGAATCTATAGCAATTCAAACGAGTAAAAGCTCCATATTTTTTCTTAGCGTTCTGTGAGATCTTGCTTGAAAAGAGATTAAAATTTTCTTGTATCTTGATGCAACGGAACATGATCTTATTCTTGCGTTATAGGACTTCACTTGGCTTGTAAACATTCACAAGGGCTCTTAGAAGATGGGTTTGCCATTGTCTTGTTTAGTGTTCAAAGTTCTATAGCCGACCAGATCTGTACGACACATCAAATTTTCTTGTAGGAAACCTAGTCTCTTCTTCTTCATCTAGGTCTTTTGACATTTAAATGAATTGAGAGTTCACTTGTTGGGTTGGGCTAACCGTGGAGCTACTGTGTAATCACTTCTTCGTGATGGGAAGGTCATAGGCTTGAGTCACAAAAACAAGCTATTAGTAATTTGCAAGGAAAGATTATGTAAAAAGACTTTGTTTCTCAACCTCTTAAATCCAGTGAGCGTAGCTGCTGTCTTATCACCTTTTTTTTATTTTACTTGATAGATAGAGGGAAAGAAAGGCAGATGTAGTACCAGGAGTCCTAGGCAATGCTCAACAAAATAGATTAATTGAATCAACCCCATAAAAATGAAAATTAATCTATGTTAATCCCCACTATTTTTGAGTTTTAGGAGACAAAACTTAGAGACACTGGTATGGGCCCAAGGTTTTTGCTAATGTGGTACACAATCCCCTAAAAAATCTGTAACAAGTGAGTGTATCCTTACAGGTTGTCTCATTCATGAGTATGTGTTTGGCATTTAGTTGTTTTCTTTGTCTTTGTATGTAGCATCTGCTATTGCTTTTATTATTATGGAAATGTAAATAACTTATTTGTATGCAGCAGTGCCTTTGATTGTTGGTGCTGATTTGTAGCTTTTGCAAACATCACTTCATTATTGAAGTTTTTAGGCTTAATTGTTTATATGTGGTCTGTATTTTCCCTGGAAGAACCAGAGAAATGTAAATTTTTTTTCTTTCCTTTTTTGTATTTGCAGGTATATCTAAGAAGTATAAACATTTGAGATACCCTTCAGTCTGGACACTTGGTTCTCAGTCATTGGGAAAAGATGGTGTCTCATTACGTCAGAAGCTGAGGCCCCATCTATTCCCATGGAAAAGATCAAGATACTTGGGAAATGTGATGAATACCTCAGCTTCTATACCCAGTAATAGCTCGTCATCTTCAATCAGGTATTGCAGCATTCCATCAGGTTTATTTTGCATTTCACTTGGCTTCCAAGTTGACGTTTTTGGTTTCTGTCTGAGAAATCACTGCTTGACTGTTCTTCCAGTAGCAAGTTGCTGCTTTCAAGAAAGAGAGAGACGATATACACAAGGTCAAAGCATGGATTTTCTCTCCGCATGTCCAAGTTATTAAGTGTTGGTGGCTCCAGTTTAAAATGGTCAAAATCCATAGAAAGGAACTCCAAAAGAGCTAATGAGGTCTGTACAGATGTAAAAATTTCTCTATGTATTCCTGTACACACATATTGCCGATCTCAATAACATAGCTATGGTGGTTAGTTGACTGTACATATGTCCTTTTATTTTAGGAAGCTACACTTGCAGTTGCAGCAGCTGAGAAGAAAAGGAGAGAGCAGCATGGTACTGCTTGTACCACTGCTGAAACAAAGAGTAGGAATAATATGTCGAGTAAGTCATGTCATTATAAGCTGACGCACCCTCATAGGCCAGAATACAATTCTAGTGTGGCAGATGGATGTTTGAGTTCTCTGTTTGAACTTTTGTGGAGTTGATACTTTTGCTTCTGACTTGCTACTTTAATTTGGGCTTATGATGAAGATAGCTATAGTTTGTAACCTGTATTATTGTGTGGCAAAACACATTCTAAAATTTTGATTATTTGCAGGAGATCGCATATTTCGTATTGGCTTGGTCAGATACAGAATGGATCCTTCAAGGAGGACACTTCAAAGGATTTCAGGTGGTCCAGTTCTGGTTAATATATTATCCCTGATTGATATCTTGTTGATTGCCTCCATGCTTTTGATGGATCTAGCAGTGCAGATGGTAATTAATTGATTTTGGTGTGATGACTTTAATGTGATATTACTTCTCAATATACAGGACTTGTATGTCACCCAATGATTTGCCTCACGTGGTTTCTAGACTTAGGTGAGTATGACTAATAGCTAGACGACCTAGCGGGGCAACATTATGTCTTCTATGCAACTTTAGGTAATTTGAATGCTAGAAATCTTCATTTTTTTGGAGATATGCAACCTGATGTTACAACTGTGGCTGGTTGGCAAACCTGTGCTGAAGAGAAAGGAGCAGGAACATATCTGGATTGTTTTCACGGGATCAAATGTTTTGGGTAGGACAGAGATAAGGCCTACCACTGCCTGCTAGGAGTCTTTACATTAATATTTCTTATTTTCTAGTTCCGAAATTTACATAGAAACTCCTACCAGTACAAGTAATTACCAATAACCTATTCATGATTATCTTCCAACTTCCTGTGTTACAGCACAATTTTCGGCAACACTAAATAACCATCCAAGTAAATTTCTTATCATTATTATTAAAATTCTATTATATTGTTAAAGACCTTCATCCATTACTGTAAAAATAGCAATATCGAAGTAAACTATCCAAGCAAATCTTCTTATTATTAAAAACTTTTTCTTGGTGAGTTGTAGCATAAACTTTAAGCCAAACTTTTAATGTGCATGTTTATGTATGCATACACACATGGAGGGAGGTTCAAACGAGAACAATAACTAAATAACAGAATATGAAACTGGCCAAATCACGTGCAAAATCACATGTGGTTTTACATTAATGGTCGACAAAAGGGTGTGTGGCGACGTGGCCAAATCACTATTTTCACTTGCGCGGTTCAGGGTCAAAGTCGTATGAATCACATGTGGTTTTATACGTGCTTTTAGTGTAAAATCACATGTGATTCGGTCGTTTTCTTATTCTCTTATCTAGTTACTGTTCTCGTTTGAACCTGACTTTACACATGTATGTATAATATATATTTTTATGTGTGTGTATATGCACATATGCCTTCATAAATACATATGTATATGATATGTTGACTTGTCCAAGCCATGACTGAAAAGCTTTAGAACTAGAGCATTGGTGCTACATAAATTGACAGTCTGTTTAGAAATTTTCGCCTTGTTAGGATGATGAGGCAAACATATATTTTGTAGGCTATAATATGCCACTTTCTAAAGACACATGTTCGCTAATTTGTTTAGAAGATGAAAAATTCTTGCTTTTTGATTCATATCCCTATGATCTACAGTTGTCAATATTTATTCATAATGTCAAGGTGATTTGTGCATAAAAAATTTGATGTGTGATCTCAAGGCAAACGAAGATTAATGAGAAACATAAAAATAGGGGTTTTCACGATGATTTGGTGCGGTTTAAGGTCAAACCACAAACCGCAATGCATATGCGGTTTGAAGATTTTCCCAAACCGCAAACTGCACCATGTATGCTTCAATTTGCGTTGTGTTGTGGTTTATGCGGTTTGTATTTAACACACTTCATTCCAGTAATTATAAAATCACAAAATTCAAAATAAATTCAACGAGGACGTTTTCATATTCGATACGATAACAAGTTCCAATATGTACGAAATGCGTAATTGAAAATAGTGTAACACAAACTTAAAAGTTCAGTGATTAATCCAAATACCGTTGAAAAATTAACATCAAAATAAATTCAACCATGATGTTTTGGTAAAAGATAAGAAAATAACTCAAATAAGGAATCTGTAACCTAAAACTTAAAAATTAATAAATAATTAATAATGTATCAACTATTTTCATTTGATAAATGATTATGTATATATGATATATATTTAAAATTATGCAATGCCTTTTGAACCGCGGTTTGATGATTCAGAACCTCAAACCCTACTACAATGCGGTTTCATTAACAATGCAAACTGCACCGTGAAAGTTCTAAAGTACCACACATTGCCGCGGTGCTGGTAGTTTAGATGAACACCCCTACATAAAACTAGGAAATGAATTGTGGGGGCTGCTGCATAATATCCAATCAGTTCTTGAACTGATCTTTATCGGTATGTGTTTGTTTGACTAATCCCAGTTATGATTCTCAGTTTTTCGCACTTGATAGTCATCTTACACGTTTTTTCTTTCTTTATTTATGGTATTGTTTCAATATTGAAATGTTGAACTTAGAAATGCTATGACATCTTATATTGTCTAAGAAAAATTACAATTGTGCTAAATGGATGAGAGTATTTACATATTAGTTTTGGTACTTGCATTCATTTAATGTACCATTTTTTATTGTTATGGTCTAAAAGCCATCTTTAAAGTTCTGTTAGTTAGTAACATGACTTATGGAATGGGTTAGACAGTATGATATGACCGGTGCTTTTTACTGGATTAAATTGACGGTAAACTTAAATGAATTGGTTGGTTATCTTTCAAGAGGCCAATCATCTCTCCCAAAACCAAAACTGTTGTTTTGGTTGATACCAGCAACAAGCCTTTTTCTTACTAGTGAAATCTAAGCAGCAATCTTGAATGCATACTCTAACAGAATACTTCTACAAGGGTTTCATATTTTACTCTCTGAAGATTGACTCTGTATTAAACTCATTTCATGTGCAGATGAGAAACCTTCAACTTCCATGCAGTCAAAAGAAGAGATCAGGAGGTCTTACGTCCCAAAGAGATTGTTGATTGGCCATGATGAGTATGTGACTTTTTATGCAGGATGTATTCTTCTTTAAGCTGAGAATCATATCAAGTTGGTTGCAAAAACATTCTGCTTGAGTAGATTTGTAGGGCGTAATTATCATAGATGCTTGAAACCTTTAATGATATGGTTCTATCAATGGCAGATACGTACGGATTGGAAATGGTAACCAGCTGGTTAGAAATCCAAAGAGGCGAACACGCATCTTTGCTAATGAGAAAGTTCGATGGAGCTTGCACACAGCCAGATCACGGTTGGCTAAAAAGAAAAAGTATTGTCAATTTTTTACAAGGTTTGGTAAATGCAACAAGGATGATGGGAAATGTCAATACATCCATGATTCATCCAAAATTTCAGTCTGCACCAAGTTTTTGAATGGTTCATGCTCCAATCCAGACTGCAAGTTAACTCATAAGGTGTATTACGCATTTGGTCTGCAAATACTCTGTTTTGTATCGACTTCATATCCATCTTATGGAATTTATTTCTTATTTACATTTTTAGCTTTGATAATGTTTCCCTTTCCAGGTCATTCCCGAAAGGATGCAAGATTGTTCTTATTTTTTGCAAGGTGGGTTTTGCTGTGTACTTGTGAACTTTCACTTATAGTCACTGAGATCAAAATTCTAAACTTATTTTGTGGCAGGATTGTGCTCAAACGAACATTGCCCTTATAGACATGTAAATGTGAACTCAGCTGCCTCTATTTGTGAAGGCTTTCTCAAGGGTTATTGTGCAGATGGCAATGAGGTAGTGATGGAGTTGACATCGTTGATGTGTCTTATATTACTGACTATGATTTCATTTTATGAATTTTTTTTTTTCAAATTGAGATGGGGCTGGGAATCTGGAGATTGGAACTTAGGAATGCGTTGATATTTTAGATACATGAGTTCCAGTTATTCTTAAACCGTTTATACCTTTTAGCACAGCTCTCCTCGAAAATAATAACATAAAGCTAAATGAACAAAAACTGTAATCGAACATATGTGGTAAATATAGTTTAGACCATGTGTAGTTTCAAAAGCTTACTTTTAGTGGTGTAACCATGGCAGTCTATACTATCAAGGAGAGTTTGTTGTCATGCCTGATCCAAGTACTTTTAACTTGTTAACATGGTTCCCAAATTTATAATTTATGAACTTCCGTCTCTTATCTGAAAGCCATAGCTACCATTTTTGTGTATGACATTGTACTTGTGGTCAACAATTTGGGGATAGGGTCAATGGCATATAGCAACCCCAAAACCTGCACTCAGAAGTCAGAAAACATCCAGTATGGGGATTGTTTCTCCCATTGGCTGATCTGTGATTTTAGCTCGTCAGATTAGAGACACTTTGTTTTCAAGGGTGGTAAATTTTTGCACTAGAATGGAGAAACCATAAATCGATCACATGCACACAACCCACTAATACTTAATTGTGTAAATTGGATCACATCTCTAACTTGCAGTGTCGAAAGAAGCACACATATGCATGCCCAGTATTTGAAGCAACAGGCGCATGTTCACAAGGTACAAAATGCAAGCTTCACCATCCTAGAAACCGGAACATTGGGGGGCTGAAGAGGAAACAACATTCAATGGAACAACACCAGCAGCAGAAGAATTCCAGGGGTCGCTACTTCGGTTCTATTGGGGTTGGGGTTGGGGAGGCAATCACGATATCTCATTTGATAAAGGATGATGATGATATCATCAATATCAATGATGACGACGACGACGATGGTGATTTGTGTCGAGAAGGAAAATTTGCTGAATATATCAGCTTAGGTTTTAGTAACGAAGAAGCAACAACTTTAAGCAGTGAGCCATCAGATTGTGGATATGATGAGATAACTAAACCCATTCGAATTATGAGTAAGAATTTGGGTGAGCCATGATTTGGTAGCACCTATTGTGACATCTTGCCTAATCTTTTGGGTACATAACGTTCTCTTTCGTCTGGTTTCTTGAGCCCAGAAAAGAAGATAATCCCCCTTAACACCTTTTTTTTGTTTTTGTTTTTGTTTTCTTGGGTCTTAGTTATGTACTTTAGTAGTGTGATAGGAAATAGAATCTTGTTTTGTTGATCAATGGACGCATTAATCATATATTTTTCATCTGAAATCTGTCTCTTTTTGCTGTTAGTAAATGGATATTTGAACCAGGTTATACGTGCATGAACTTTTACTGGCTGGGAGCCTTGGAGAATATAGTGGTGTAGCTGGACTTGAATACCTTACACTCGCTCTTTCTTCACGATGACATGTGTATTCAAGAATATTTGATTTTTGAAGCCTTTATATTAAAATCGGGATCTGAGATTGCTTCTTGTTTTTTTTTTTCTTTTTTAAACTAGACATGGAACCGTTGTTTGCTTTAAATTAAAAGCCTAATTGGTTTAAAATATTAGTTTCTTTTAGGGCTTGGGAAAATAATTGAAACCACGTACAAAAGTATTAAGGAATAAAATTTATGCTATATTATATTTCAGGTTTCAATATTTACAAATATTTCAAATCTGTTTACATAAAATAATAAAATAACCTAAAAGTCTGAATTAACAAAATTTTGGTTATAACAAAAACTTTCTTCTATGATTTTGTCACATCTTTTCCTTGCCTTTATTTTTTAAGGATTCCTGCAAAATAAATTATTACAACAACTGAAGGTTAGCCAAAAGGTCTAATGAGTGAAAATTTCTTCTGTAAATAAAATTTGTTGTAATACTCTAATACAGTTTAGACCTAAATTTTTTAACGATAAAAATTACCAAATATTTATCGCGATTACACGACCATTTCATCAATCGCGGTTACACCGCCATTTCATCTATCGTTCAAAAACATTCTTATCGAACAACACTGTGAGCGATGAGAGTCAATCCGGACAACACTTTGATCGGTGAGGGTCAATCCAGACAATACTTTGACCGATGAGGATCTTTATCAAATGAAGCTTTGAGCGATGAAGGTCTTATCGGTTGATGCCTTAAGCGATAAGAGTTTCACTAGGTAACACTTTGAACGATAAAGGTCCTTACCAGACCATACTTTGTACCATAATGAATATAACAGAATTTGAATACATATACTACCATAAAGTGTTATATATTTACCAAAACATTTTAAAACTCACATTTGTTTAAGATCTTGTTGAATGTTTCTGCCTTCTTTCCTTTGATCACCAATTTGCTAAAGTTCTCCAAAGTTCAAAAACCTTACCTCATTGCTTAACGCTTGCTATATATAGAAGTAGAGAAATATTACCAAAGAAGGAAGGGGAGTTTTGAGGCGGTGCATGGACATGCACCCCTCCCCTTCACATGTTTTCCATTCATTCACAATAACTTATTGGACCAAAACTAATTCATTACAAGGAGGTGAACAGAGTTTTCATCATTAGTCCCTCTACTTCCAATAGATACCACCTCTTATCCTTGAACTTTCCATTGCTAAATATTTTCAAAACCTGACCAACTATAATTTAACACCAATCATTACAATATCCTCTCCTTAGAGGAATTCCGTCCTGGAATTCCACTAAGTAAAAAAATGTGGATATTTTACTCGCATCTCAGACTCAGGTTCCTAGGTGGCTTCTGGTCCTTTATGACAACATTACTGAACCTTCACTAATCTGATCTCTTTATTTCTTAGTGTTTTTACTTTGAAATCTGAAATGGCTTCGGGGGTCTCTTCAAAACACAACTTTTCATCGATTTTGATTTCTGGTAGAGGCACGACTATTTATGGGTTTGCTAGACACTTCCTTAGGTTTGACACATGAAAAGGGTTATAAATACCACTTAATTCCATAGGAAGCTCTAGTTTATAAGCCACTTATCCAACCCATTCAAGGATGGAAAACGGTCCAATATACCTTGGACGAAACTTACCCTTATTTCCAAAATGAACAACCCCTTTCCAGGGTGATACTTTCAACACCACTTTATCATCAATTTGAAACTCAATCGGCTTACGACGTTTATCAGCGTAACTTTTCTGTCAATCCTGGGTTACTTTCATTCGTTCACGAATCTGATTAATCTTATCTGTTGTTAACTGAACTATATAAGGTCCAACCAATTGTTTCTCGCCCACTTCGTTCCAACACAACGATGTTCAACATTTTCGCCTGTACAATACTTCCAAAAGGTGCCGCTTGAATACTTGAGTGATAACTGTTTTTATAGACGAACTCAATCAAAAGGCGAATGACTATCCCACGATCCTCCAAAGTCAATAACACATGCCTGAAGCATGTCTTCGAGCGTCTGAATTGTTCGTTCACTTTGCCTATCCGTCTGTGGATGATAAATCGTACTCAACTTTATTTGTGAACCCATTTCTCTTTGGAAGCTCTTCCAAAACATAGACGTGAATCGACTGTCTCGATCAGAAATAATCGATAATGGAAGACCATGACGTGTTACCACTTCATCAATATATAGCTTCGCTAGCTAGTCCATAAAATATGATTCTTAATCGGTAAGAAATGAGCAGATTTAGATAATCGATCCACAATAACCCATATAGCATCAAAACCCTTCGACGTTCTAGGTAATTTGGTTATGAAATCTATAGTAATGTGATCCCATTTTCAAATCGGAATTTCTAACGATTGCAACTTACCGTAGGGTCGTTGATGCTCTATTTACACTTGCATGCATGTCATACACTGATTACACATGCCTTGCTATATCATTCTTCATGCCCGACCACCATTAGAAACATTTTATTTGTACCCAGGTGAACGAAAAAACAAGATTTGTGAGCTTCACTTACAATTCGTTCCTTGAGATTACCATAGCACGGTACCTAAACTCTGTTCTGGAAACACAATAATTCTTGACTGTCTTTTACTAATTCAGTCAACACCCCACCAAGTCGTTCTTGTTTGATCCTATCTTCTCTCACAGTTTCACCTTGGGACTTTTGCAGTTCTTCGTGAATGCTTGGTAATAACTCAGCTCTTAATGCTATAACTTTAATTGTACCGCTCTTTTCTTTACGGTTTAATGCGTCAGCTACCACATTAGCCTTGCCTGGATGATATGTTGGGATTGAATTTTAGTGTTAAATTGTACTCGTCTCGAAAGTTTATAATTATATTTTTAGTAAGTTTGACTTTATAAGTCTTGTTTGACTTTGACTAGTGCTTTTATTGTTTGACCTATAAATAGGTTTTGTCTTGTAGTGAATTTTGTAGAAGAGGAGCTTAATTGTAACTCATACGTAAACTTTGAGAGTTTTATATAAGTTTGACCAGTTGACTTTTCCTCTCAAGTGTTCTTAATATTCATATGATGTTTGCCATTGATTCATGATGATATTTGAAGATTGATCGTATTATGGGACTCACAATTGGTATTAGAGTTGGAATGTAGTGATTTCAGTGGAAGAAATCATACTTTGAAGATTTTCTGGAAAATTTCACTTCTGTTCATCTTGTGTTCTTAAAAGTGTTCTTCAATTTTTAAGACTTTGATTCGTAAAACTTTTAAATTTTCTTGTTTTGATGTTAAAATGATGATCAGTGTGTGTAATTGTTTAGTGAATCTTTGTTATTCACAAAGTTTTGTGATTTGATCGATCATTTTTGAGATTTGCTCAAATTAGTGATTTTAAAAAGTTTTTGTGTTCTTGAAAAAGTTCTCAAAAAGCCAAGTTTGGTTTCAAATTTTTGTGAAAAAGATGGTGTTTTTGTGTTTTTGACATTGTTTGATCGGATTCTTGGTTTAAATCGCTCAAGGGTTAGGAGGTTTTGGTATAAATCGATCATAGTTCTAGTCGGATTCACTATCTTTGCTCATCATCGTTTAACAAGGTGATCGATTTCATGACTTAGCCAGATAGTTCAAGTTTAAATCACACACCTCATTGACCAAACTTAGTCTACAATGCACAAGACTTAGCCGATTTAGGTTTACCTCGTGCATAGCAGCATCCGTATTAGGACTACATCGTTCAAGGACTTGTCCGTATTCAAGCTAAATCGCATATAGGTGTGTCCGGATTCAAGGTCATCGCTCATAGCCCTGTCCGTATTTGATATAACTCGGACAATGGCACACCCGATTTAGTCATCATCGCTCAAGTTACCCGGATTCTGACTTGATCGTGACTTGAGTTTTCCCGCATCATTCCTCAGTCACTACTCTGTCCGATTTAGCCAATCCCCGGACGTAGCCTTGTTCGAGCTTGGCTTCTCCGTTCATCACTAGGCCAGCAACCAACATTTCTCGTGTAATTCCTCGGTCACAGGCTTGACTGGATTAGCCTCTAACTCGCTCAACCTTGTGTTCGGATTACCATCCTTCTCGGTAACCACTTGGTCGCGAGCATCATTTCCTCGCACACAGCTTTGTGCGGACTTAGCAACCTCGATCACACTTGTCCGGATTTGGTTTACGCTTAGATAATTTCAAGTTTCAACCGATTTTTGAGTCAAATTTGCTAAAACTTGATTTTTTTAAACCAATCTTTCAGTTTTCACATTTTCTCAAATTTTATCAGTTTTATCTGGATTTCATGTTTTTATCTGTTTTAACCAAATATCTGAGTTTTGAGATGATTTTGAACTGTGTTGTGTCGTGTGAACTGTTTTGATTAGTTTTAACAGTTTTTGACTGTTTTAAATAGTTTTTGATAGTTTTTAACAGTTTTTGACTGTTTTTTACTGATTTTAACCATTTTTCACTGTTTTTATAATATCTGAACAGTTTTTGAATTCTCTGAGATTTTTTTTGTGTCTATTGATTTTATCTGAAGAATATCTTTAGATTGTGATTTTCTGTATCTGATTTCAATACCGCATAGATTCATTGATCAATCTTTGATTTTTTTAAATGACAGCTTTTTACGAGAGAAAATACAGAGAACTCAAAAAGAAACATGATAAACTGACTTTAGAGCTTAACAAGAACAAATCTTGGACTATACTTTTAACTGATTATAATGAAAGAGAGAAGGAAGACAAGAAGGTGTTGCAAGAAAAGTTGAATGAATTAATGAATAATGCTTCTGATTCACAAGAAAGTGTAAGAGTGAACAAACAAATTGAAGAATTAATTGTGAAATTACATGAAGCTGAAAAGAGGGATTTGACTGATGAAAAGTTTTGTGAATTGGATAAGAGAGTGAATGAGTATAAAGATAAATATCT